TGATAGAGAGGGATTAGGAAATTGTTTTAAGGGTGGTTGTTGTTATTTTTGAAATAATTTTTTATGTTAAAATATATATTAATATTTTTTTTTATTTTTTAAAAATTATTTTTGATATTAATGGATTAAAATAATTTAAAAACAATAAAAACATATTAATTTAAAGTAAATAAAAAATTTTAATTTTTTTTAAAAAAACTTTTGAAATACAAAAATAAATAGGCCAAGAAAAGGAGCTCGAGCTTTTAATAAAAAAAAATATTTCAAGATAAAAAAGTTTTAAGTTAAAAAAGCTTTGCATGAATTATAATAAAAAAAATGAAGCTATCCTTTTCTTTTTAATTTTCTAAAAAAAATAAACTTACTTAAAACAACATGCATTTAGCATATTCTTCCAAATCAAAGTATATATAATTATAACAAAATTATGCAAGATTATTAATGATTGTGATTGTTTTGGAGTTCATATGACATGTTTGTGTGTGTCGTAATTTTTTTTTTTTGATTTGAGAAAACCCCACCCTTCAGAAAATATATTTTCTGGGATTAAGTGAACGAGTAAAACCCCGACTATCCCAAGCTCTTATAAGAAGTGCACGCCATAATACAAACTCAAAACCTGTTATGCAGATTTCAAACTCTTTACTATCACGCTACGCCCCTTGAGGACTTGTGTGTTATAATTGTTAAATATTAAGTATTGAACAACAATTCAGTTTTATATTCATGGTTTTTATTTTAGTGAAATTGAATGTTATTTTGTATTCTTGAAAACTTAATTAATTTATTTATATATTAAACCATTTTAATTCAATAAATATTTAAACTTGTTTATTTATAACAGATTATGAGAAATATATTAAGTATAAAATTGGACAATGTATGACACGACTAAAAGATTGATGTCTTCTCCCAAATGCAGGAATGTTAAAGTAATAAATAACCCGGCAAGATCGGGGTCGAACCACAAGGAGGTTAATTATATAAATTATAGATTACAAGTGATCAATGAAAGAAATCCTAGAAATTATAACAAGTGATCAATGAATATAGCCATTTAAAGTTTAATGGACGGTTTTCAGCCTCCTTTCATATGCTAAAGAATATATATATCTTTTGGTAATAGGAACATATGAAGGGAGAAGATTTCAAACTCTTTACTATCATGCTACACCCCTTGAGGACTTGTGTGTCATAATTGTTAAATATTAAGTATTGAACAACAATTCAGTTTTATATTCATGGTTTTTATTTTAGTGAAATTGAATGTTATTTTGTATTCTTGAAAACTTAATTAATTTATTTATATATTAAACCATTTTAATTCAATAAATATTTAAACTTGTTTATTTATAACAGATTATGAGAAATATATTAAGTATAAAATTGGACAATGTATGACACGACTAAAAGATTGATGTCTTCTCCCAAATGCAGGAATGTTAAAGTAATAAATAATCCGGCAAGACCGGGATCGAACTACAAAGAGGTTAATTATATAAATTATAGATTACAAGTGATCAATGAAAGAAATCCTAGAAATTATAACAAGTGATCAATGAATATAGCCATTTAAAGTTTAATGGACGTTTTTCAGCCTCCTTTCATATGCTAAAGAATATATATATCTTTTGGTAATAGGAACATATGAAGGGAGGATATTTGAACAAAAAGATTAAAATATTTTTTTGGTAATGAATATATCCAGACATAGCCAGCCAATCTGCTGGAGTCTCCAAACCTTATGAATATGAATCTCTTGATAAATAGGAAAATAAAATAAAATCAATAATTATATGCTTTCAACGGATGGCTTTGGTGCTTCCTTCTATATCATTTCGACCATGAGATTAATGGGAGCAAGATCGTATATGCCCGGGTGTGTCAATCTCTCTTGCACTTGTTCAAGATCTTTGCCAAACTCAGTTAGTTGCTCTCGTGTATTATGACCCCATGCATGGGCTCTGTTGTCTCCAACTCTTTCCATTTTTAGAGGATTTTCCAAGCTCAGTTGTCAAACCGACACAACAAAGCTCATTGTTTTCCTATGTCTAAAACCCTAAATAACATAAAATAAGTTTCTTAAATCACTCCGAACTTATATAGTATATCATTAGCACTTTTTTTTGCAGTTTGTGCCGTAAACCTAGTTCCTGTAAGAGTGTGCAGATGAGTTTTCTTTTATGCATGTGCTTGTACAATGTCTTTGGATGGGCTATTACACAAATAAGCTGCATGTGAATGTTGTGCACATGTGTGTTTTTGTAAGACATGAGCCACGCTAGTTTCTTTCCTTAAGAGCCTCTGTAGCCTTGTGCAGAATAGAAATCAAGCCAGCCAAACAGAAGTCCAAATTTTATCAACTTTTTCGTCAGATGTGATGATTACATGAATTTAGATGTTGATGTGTAACTTCTGAATTACTATTGTTTAACTTTTTTGTGATATTTTAAGCTGCTCTGAAATTTTAATTGTTGTTTCAGTCATTGGAGATGTAAGGGGCAGGGGCTTAATGGTAGGGATAGAACTTGTGACTGACAGGAAGGAAAAAACCCCTGCCAAAGCAGAAACTGCAGTCTTGTTTGAGAAACTTAGAGGTAATAAGGCACAACCTCCCAACACCATAAACGTAGAAAAGATAAGCCTTTGATTATGAAATGAATTTCTCATCGATTTCTACTTTGTATTTATCATCACTGGTTCCTGAGTGCAGAGCTTGGCATCTTAGTCGGCAAAGGTGGAATACATGGAAATGTGTTCCCTATCAAACCACCAATGTGCTTCACCAAAGATGATGCAGGTACTCTTCATGTCTCTTCAAGTGCTTAAATAAATTAAACCCTCGTGTTTTTAGATAAGCAATAAGGTAGCTTTCAGGAGCGATTCTGAGAGCTTTTAAAAACTGCAGTTTCTGTGAAAAAAAGCTCTGAACTGCTTGCGTGATGATTACCATTGTTAATTTTGTTTACATGCTCTTTTTAACCAAATGATCTAATGTCACGGTTTTTGTTTTGGCATACGCAGATTGTCTTGTTGACGCGTTGGACTATTTAATGTCAAAGTTGTGAGGAGCTACCTGCCAAAAGCTGAGATGAATATGTAATTATTCATATTTTTTGGCATCGATCTCTTCTGATAGGTTGCTTTCAATAATATCGAGCAAATATCTAACCTTTCTAACAATAGGATGCGTTTGCTTGTTTCTGATTCTATTACCTGAAAAAATCAAACTGTATTTCCATGTTCTGTGGATGCACATGTCATAATGTGCACCAATAGATATACATTACTTGAAAACTCATGCAAGGAAACATAATCCAAGAAAGGCTTTTGCGGTTATCGGTGTGTGCGACAGATAATTTTTAGTTCAACGGTGCTGGCAAGGCATTAGATTCTTTCATTTTTAAGGTGCAGGCAGAGTTAATACTCAAGAAAAACTTACATTGCAAGAGGACCTCGGACCTCGGAGGACAGTTAAATGTCCAATTTTTCAGAACTATTGGCTTTGTAGTTCCATGTTAGTCAGCAATACCCTCCAAATCAGGCCATGTGCCTAAGCAACCATCTCTAAATGTGGATTCTGAAGACTAAAATATCGATTGAGCTCAACTGGTGATATAGAAGTGGCAGGGATGGATAAGAAGATTGAAAAACTAAAGACGTGAAACTGGAAATGCTCTTGGCTTTATATTTCTCCTTGTACCAAATATAAACTACAAACCAGAAAAAGGGAAAAGATTGCTAGTACAGAAGAAAAGAAACGAAAAATACAAGAAATATCACTAGCTAGATAAAAAAAGGGAGAGACCAATCATGTTAAACTATTCTATCAAGCCATTGAAGTGTGGGCTCGGGATGGTGGATTGATAGTGGCAGTCTGATGAACACGTCCAAAGATTTTTTGTTTTAATTAGTGGAATGACATGGATTGGTTAGTTCAGTATTGCTGACAAACGTTGCATGCTTTAATGATTACAACAAGATTAGTAGAACTAGTAATACGATAGTAACAACATCGCTTTCTTTTTTGCTTTGCTGCTCGCTTTTGCACATCCCTTTTGAGTGGTTTATGAATAGCTTTAGCTTAGTTGGGGCTTTGCTTGTGTTGCTGGAACGCTATCCTGTTGTATGACAACCAGGTTATTTCCAGTAATTATTCATGTTCATAATGGGATCACAAGACAAATGAACTAAAGCTGTCCCAGTCAGAATTCCCTGGAAATGAAACAGAAACTAATGGAAATAGAATGGCTATGAGTTACATCTTCTTAATTGTGCATCAATGATATTACATAATTTCGGCAGCAAAACATCCATGCCATTCATTATTGACCTCGAGTTCATTGTCAGGTAGGGTTTTCCTAGCCTACATTGACCATTTCAGTATAAGAAAGGGAGATGGGAGGCAACAAATAATTTGCAATTCTCACGATTTATGTACAAGGCAGAACAAAAATACAAACACAAGTAGACTACAATTTACATGACAAAGTTTCACCTGCAGACTCAACGTGATATATCATTTGATGGCAAGACAGTAGCAGCACTGAAAATTGATTTAACCACAAGCTTCCTCTTGATAGAATGGCTATTTATATCTACAACTTTCCAGTTGTAGGAGGCTGCTTGAAAAATGTCAGCAGCTTGTATTGTCTACATATAAGATTACATCATTACCCTAAGACGCCCTTTTTCTTTCTGAGTATGGCTCCAGTGATGATTATCTCCTTGAGATCTCGACCAGCTATAGGGTCCTAATATGAAGCTAGGCAGGCTCACGTGGGCGAGTAGCCCAAAGTGAACTCAGAGCCCGAAGCCGTTGGAAGTATTCACCCAAGGCAAGCAGCCCTCGAGCTGCCTGACGTGTTGTTAAGATCCGAGACATCTGCTGCAAAGTTTCCTGGCGTAGATGGTCTGCCTGTTAAAACAAAGAGTTGGTGTTAGATATATCAACAAGCCCAGCTGATTGATCTCATTCAGAAAGCTGGGGAGCATAGCTTCAAGCACAACCACTTTTGACCCAAATGCTAGCGAAAACTTGGATATCACCCACATCCGCATAACAAGATTATTTCATGACACAAGGCACTAATATGCTTTAATGAAAGTTATGAATGCCTTTTCCTCTGAAATTGAAGTTATTACTTCATGGATTGTGTTTGTGTTATGAGTGCACATGCCTAAAGAACTTAGACTAAAACCATTCGAGAATGCATAGTTAAGGTGCATTATAAGACCTGCTGCACAAAGCGGGCCAGTAATTCAAACTTCTCCATTGCAGTTTCCATATGAGGCGAGTAACTTGCTTCACCCAACTGACCAGCTGCCACAGTCTCTGCTACACTTTGCTGGACTTTTTCCAAACCTTGTGAAAAAGCATCTTCAGCTTGCTGGCATGATTGTTGAAGATTATAAACATGCACAAGTTGCTGTTCTGTCAAGGGATCCATGCAAGGCACGAGAATCTGTAATCAAAATAAATTTGTGAATATATCTCAGAAGAAACTGGGTCAGAATAGAAAATATGACAAGGTCCAGAAACACAGAATAAAATGAATACTTGAGTCAATGAAACAACCATTTGAATGATATAAGAACTTATTAATCGTATGAACCAAATGATAAGATGCTAATCTATAACATATGTTGGTGCCGATACTTACGTCTAGGAAGTGAGAAATGCTATTTTAACAACCACGTGCAATTAGCATGACTCTATACCAATAGCAGAACCCTCCAAATGAATTATCACTGTATAAATATTTGCACTTTACATGACTAGACAGGACTTGCTGGCTATTATGTGCAAGACAACACAATAACCACAGTTTTGGAGTAACAAGGGCCCTAACCATATTTACAGCAAAGCAGACAATGACCAAAAACCAACTGCGTAATTAATAAACCAGACTGGCAACATGTCATGCACTTTAACAATTACCAGCGTAATGCTCGACGTGAAAGAAATTTAATACACCGAGCCGAGCATCAGCGCAGACCAGAATGCAGTGATAAGTTGTCAAAGTTTTAGATCAAGTTTACCCACCCTGGCAAGGTGGTGAGATCAAAATGAGGTATTTCATAAGTTCAACGGCACCCCCATATATAACTTTAAATTAATAATTTTCAATCACTAATTCATCACCTCAAGAAGCTGTGAAGGGCGAAACCCTCCAACCCACAAGAAAAACCTTTCTGCCGATGATTTCCACAAGCCAGACATCACATAGAAAACATCAGCTTTTGTTGCAGTTGCTTTCAGGCGAAAAAGTTTGGAATAGAGGCTCATGTCACTCTCTACAAGCATGTGGAGCTCTACATCACTTATATGAGCGTTTAAAGCAGTCCTCATATCACAAATATGTCTGTTTTGCTCCTCCAACCAGTGCCCATACTCCATCTCAAAAGTTGCAATCCCTGCAGAATCCTCAGAGTCAGCATATGGTTGATAGATAAATGTGAACGAACAAGTTTAAAGTTAAGCCACAAGAAGTTAAATGTCAAGAAATTAACAGAGAAAATACAGGCATTTTTCAGGTGAAGTCATGTATCGACAGCAAGCTATTAGGACCATATTTTAAGTGCTAATTTCAGGCATGTCAGCCAATAAAGAGGACAGCAGTTCACCTTTTTATTTGCCATTGAAGTGCTTGATCATTGTTTAAACATAATACATAGTAGTAGTGCATGAAGATCGAGTTACAAGTATATGAATTAATTAATGCAACAAATCGCTTCTACTTTGGATGGTCTCCGGTGCTCAAATGAGCTCAAGCAAACTGAAAATTTTTCAACTGAAATAATTTTACGAATTTACTAGAAACTAAACCTCCTATCTTCTTATATAATTTCGTCATTCTCTAGCAAGAATCAAAGAGAGAGCAAACGACTAACTTGGAGAGAAAAAGAAAAAAGAAAAAGACAGCTCATATAGAAAATAAAGTGAACCATTAACTTTTAAGAATAATTTAAAGGTCTAAAGCATGAAACATTTGACAATGCCCACTGCAACGTGAGAGAGACATCTAATTCAAACTTGATAGACCACCATCTGGGAGTTCAGCAGCAGAACAAAAGGTAAAAGAGTACTTTGGCAAACATACCTGAGTTTGTAGGTCCTCCAAAACCTAGCTGACTAGCATCTGCTCCACCACCCATATACAGGCCCTGTTGTCTAGCTCTGTCAACCTCCTGCTCCAACTGAATGAGCATCACACGACTTGATTCTAACTGCTGAACATAAGCCTGTAAATAAAAATTAAAATCACAGTTAGTAACAATCCTCTTATTGCTTGTAGGCCAGCAGTTTTTAATGCATGGTGGATAGTCCTTCCTACCTTCTTCCGCAAACGGCTTTTACGAGCAGCCTCACGATTTTGTGCAAGACGTCTTTGTACCTGTAAGCATTCACATGTATAGTTACGAAGCAAGTATTCATATTTTTCAGAAAGAACTCTCAAGGTTAGTTTTTTTGTTGTCATAAGAGAAGCTTGTGGTTGAAACTATTGGATGATGAACATATTTGTATCAATAGACAGAAAACAACAGATTCTAAAGATCTATGGATGAAATGATCTAACTATGGAAAAGGTCACGCTGTCTAACATATATTATTTCAGTGTTAATATCATGACAATCTCAATTAAATAGTGACCGAAACTATTTAAAGAGTATCTCACAGTTACATATGAGAATTAAAGCTCTCGAAAGCCAAAACTAATTGACAAACAACTTGTTTTCAGACCGAAGCAGCACAGCTGCAATCATAAAAAGGAAAGGTTGGAAGCAGAACAGCTTGTTTTCCTCACAGACCAAAGCAATCATACATCAATTTTGGCTTCCATCCAGGCCAGAAACATAGAAGAAACTCACTTTCAATTGCTAAAAAAGAAAATCCTAAGGAAAGCAGAACATATTCAAACACTCAAAAATTTTAGGACATCAAAAAGAGCCCCTCTTCCACGTCAATCAATGATGCGCAAATCTCATCACGATAAGCATACATAGATACATACATACATACACACACATGTATATAGTAATATAGTATCAGCTTTAGAACACTTGAATTCTCCTAGCTAAGCTAGACTTGAACAGAGCAGCTTGAAAATTATTAGATTTCCTTATCTTTGTCGAGCCCTTTTCAACTTTCTCAATAACCAAACAGACTCCCTCAAAAACAAACCAGAAGAAAGCAAAGGAAAAAACAGACCTTTTTTCAAATCAAAGCACCATGAAAGAAACTTTCCCGGCTCTGCAACTGCAAGAAGTAGGGCTAGAGGCAATTTTTGGAAATTTTCTGAAGTGAAATCCAAAGAGAAGAAGTAATAGAATTTGTTGCAGTAATTCTCTCAAACCACCAGTCCCATCATCATTAGCAACAAGAATCGAATGACAATAAGACAGCTTAAAAGAGACTCTCTTCCCTTCAATGGTGTTCTATATTCATTTTTTTTTAATTTTCTTTTTTATATTTTTTTATACGTATGGAATTGAAAAATTCAGCTACACTGGTGGCAATTAATTTATATTATTTGAGACACTCTGAGCTGGTGTGAAGAGACGTCATGGGAGAACTGATATATTAAGCGTATGTTTGTTTCTATATTTTAAAAGTATTTTTTAAAAATATTTTTAGTGTTTTCAAATTATTTTAATTTATTAATATTAAAAATAATTTTTAAAAAATAAAAAAAATATTATTAGTATACATTTTAATCCGAAAAATTATTTAAAAAATAATAACAATCATATTTTTAAATAAATTTTAAAAACAAAATTTAAAAGAAAAATAATTAGAAAAGGATAAGCTTAAATAATAATAATAATAATAATTAGGAGATGGTGACAATGATGTGTCTAAAGATGCTATCCTCTCCTTTTCTTTTTTTTCTTTTTTTTTGTCTCTATTTGTGGTGTTATTCTCAAAAATTTGTGGTGTTAATAATACTTAGGAGACGGTGCCAATGATGTGTGGATTGTCTATTTGATTCATTTTTGGTTCGTTCTTTGTTTCAAAAATAAATAGTGGAACAATCTCTCTCTCTCTCTCCCCACCCATTATTGCTTATAGAAATCATAATTTGGTTAAGATATTTAATAACATATTTATAATAACATATTTATAGTTTTGTTCGTACGAAATTCTTAGCTATTTGATACAAACTAAACTCCTTGGCATATGCTCGCACCGGGGAAGTACACGTCTTTGCTTTTGCATCACCTGGTGTCAGGTTTTGACAAAGAGAATTTAAGAAATTATATTAGATGATTGAAGTTATTTTTTAAATACTTTTTATATTAAAATATATGTTAATATTTTTTAAAAAAAAATTAAATTTTTTTTTATACTAATATATTAAAATAATTTAAAAATACTAAAAATATATTAATTTAGAGTAAATAAAAAAATAAAAAAATTAATTTTTTTAAAAATATTTTAAAAACACAAAAACAGATAGGTCAAAAATTGGGGCTCGAGCTTTTAATTAAAAAAATATTTCAAAATAAAAAAGTTTTTAATTAAAATTTTTTTGCATGAAATATATACAAAAAAATGAAACTTTGCTTTTCTTTTTAATTTTTCAAAAAAAAAACTTTCTTGAAACAACATACATTTAGCATATTCTTCCTATTCAAAGTATATATAATTACAACAAAATTATGCAACATTATTAATGATTGTGATTGTTTTGGAGTTCTTATGATATGTTTGTGTGTGTGTAATTTTTTTTTATTTGAGGAAACCCCACCTCTAAAAAAATACATTTTGTGGACTCAGGTGAACGAATAAAACCTTAATTATCCCAAACTTTTACAAGAGATACATGTCCTAACTCGAACTCAAAACTTGCTATACGAATTTCAAGCTCTTTGTTATCATACTACGTATCTTGAGGACTTGTTTGTCATAATTGTTAAGTATTAAGTATTGAAAAACAATTTAGTTTTATATTCATGGTTTTTATTTTAGTGAAATTAAATGTTATTTTGTATTCTTGAAAACTTAATGAATTTATTATAATATTATACCATTTTAATTCAATAAATATTTAAAATTGTTTATTTATACAGATTATGAGAAATATATCAAGTATAAAATTTGATAATATACATGCAAAACACTTTGAAAAGAAAACTAGTATCGTTTTTTTTTAATTGTGGGGAAGAAAACTAGGATCAACTTATATAATTATATATAAAAATACAAATTATGTGTCAAGAGATTTGATTTCAAAGAATACTATTTAATTTGTAAGAACCATCAAGAAGATTATATTTGTAAATATCAAATATATTATTTTACCTTAAAATATTATATATGCTAAGATTAAAAAGACTTCTACTCTATATAATTGAAAATTCAATTCTATGTGTAGTTAAGAAAGAGACTTAAAAACTAATGTAATTCTTAAAAAATTAGGTTAATCTCTTTTTTCTATTATATGCCTATTATAATTTCTTATTCAAATTATTTTTTTCTTATTTTATTGGGAATTTCATATTTTTGTTGACTTTGATGGCCACCGCCAACACCTTATGTCAACATCATTTCTTATTTTAGTGTTGTTTACGCAATTATTTCTATTAATATTTTATCATATCTGACTCTTATGGATGCCGGATTACTCTGCCTTCCATCCATGCTATCAAGAGTTATGCAGAGAAATATTAATAAGTATAGTTTAATTGATTAGTTAAATTTATTTTTTAGAAGTTATTAGTAAGTGTTATAAATTTAAATATTATTAAAAATTTATATAGTTATTAATTTTAAAATTTATAAAATTAATTAAAATATATATAAGCTAATTCGAACATCCATATTAATAAAAAAAAAAAATTAAAAATTAGAACAAAGGCTATTTCTTAGAATTATCAAACCTAGGACAATTTCAAAACTCCTTTAGTCTTAGCATTTTGAGTTTTTTGAGAAGGTCGAAGAAGGGGTATTTAAAATTTCAGTAATGATTGTGGTTTAAAATATTTTTTATTTTAAAATATTTTAAAATAATATATTTTTATTTTTT